TTCAATTTTCTTTCCAATTTTATCACATAATTAACTGATAGTATAAGAAATCTAATACAATAAATATAATGGCTATTGACTGACTTTTGCAAAATGATGGCTAAGAATTTAGAAAATATATAGCTGGCCCCACATCTACCTACCACTTCATCATATAATATTGTACATAATAATTAAAAATATGTCCTAATTTAAGAGACCTTTTGTCAAATAAATTTAATGAATTTCTCACGATGTAATCACAATTTACAAACAACATCATGTTGATGATGTCCATGGTCCTATATACCTACGTACTATCTTTTGGTTCTACCTAATATTTAGTATTATTATTGTTATTTCTTTGTTCTATACTTCATAATATGACTTAATTGGTTCATCATCTAGAATAACCACAATTTGTTTGGTTTGATAACATTAATTGATTGAACTCAAACATCCCAAGCAGCCATGCTACTCAATAAGGATCGTGACATTTTTAGTCAGTCGATTAAAAGAAATTTCAATCACCTAATAGTAATACAGTCAAGTCTTGTTATAACAGTTAATTGTTATAATAATATTTTAGTATAATGTCCTGATTTTCTCCAAAATGGACTTTTCATATTATATTTTACTGATACTTGTTATAGCGGTACTCTCTATGTAAAATTACTTATTTATAACCGTCATACTCAAATATTGTGTAATAACATTTATAAGAAATATAAGGTATAATAATAAAATATTAAAATAATTATGGTAATTATCATTAATGTCATGCACATTGTAATTTCAAGTACAAATATCTAAAAAGAAAAAAATAAATGTAAATGATGTCCATCAATTATGATCATAACTTCGATGTTTGCCTTTTTAAAATTCGTACTTTTTTTTTTGTTATATTGGCAAACAAATATATTTTTTCTTTTTGATACACAATTCATTAAACTATTTTATTTTTTTCATACTTTTGCATAACAACTAAATTTGGTCTAAATAACAAATATCAATAAACATATATAACATTATCTCATTATAATTACAAGTTATTAGCAACTACGAAATTTTCAAATAAACATTACCCACAATAACGGAGTTAATTTGACTTTGATGATGTATACTCAGTACATAACAATTGTATAAGAAAGGTATAATCAGAGTATGCATTGGGTATACAAGTTATATGGAAACTATTTATTGATTAATTAAACATTATAGACTATTTAAAATGTATAAAAAATAAATATTAGAATTGTTTTTTGTGGTGGGGTTTGTTGGACTATTGTAGTATTGCAATTAAATATGTATATTTTATATTGGTAAATTCAGTGTTAAATAATTTGTTAATTATGTTTTGAATTTGTCCATTGTATATCTAGGAAACCCTTAATCATCATCTAGTAGATTTGGTAAAGAATAATATATTTGTCTTAAAGAATTAAGAGAACCTTTCTCATATTAATTTGAAACTACTTAGGATCCGCTGAGTTTAGTGTCGATAAGACAAGTAGTGAATCTTTATTATCGAATGATATAGGAGACAATTAAAGCATCAGTCTCAGCATCAACAGAAGAAAAGGACTGACCGACCGTTGTTCAAGAGAGATCATGAAGGCTCGAACTTTTTGCTAACTTTGAAACATGGACCGAATGAATTGTTCTCGTCTATCGATAGATAGAAGGTTGCTTCCAAGCTCAACCTATTTGAAAAGAAATTGCTATTTTTATTCTTGTTATTGATAGAGTGGTAACAAAATCTCATTAAATCATTATATTATTTTTCTTTCTTTATATAATTATGTGCTAGTTAATCTACGATTTTTCTGGCACATAAATCATATGATAGGATGGTACTCCATTATATAAAAATTTGAAAAAATATAAACAAAGGTCAAACCAATAAATTATGATTTTGGTTCATGAGCTAAGCTTCTAGAAGATGAAACCAACCACTATTGTAACAAACCTACCCTTTTGCTTACAAAGTCCTTGCGGATAGATAGATTAGATAAATCAGTATTTATGCTTTGACCTCTGACTAAATCATTGCAAACAAAGCGTGTCTCATACCACTACCATTAGTTTTAAAAAATAAAAATAAAAACTATACTATATACTTAATTTAGTTGGAGTATTAGGAAAGAAATCTTTAGCTAGTTCTACTAATTAAACCTGCTCCAATAATATATTATATTTAGATAGGTAAGTATAACTCCATGACCAATGGTTGCTAAATAACTTAATCACAACATTTTTTGGGTCTTTCTAGAAGTTGGAATAGGGAAATTAATATGATAAACACATGTAATAAGTCTTACAATTATTTAGATAAATCTTAGGCCATGAGTTTTTTTTTTAAGTTTTTTTTAGTAATAAGTTAAACATACATCAAAATCAACGGCAATTAGACAAGTATAATTTTTTAAAACAAAATTAAGAGGCAAATGGTGATCCAACTTGTTTGTGTTTTGAAATTGTGACCTTTTGATGACAAAGTTGCCATTTAATGTGTGTATTTTATAAAGATTTTAAAATACCTTACATTACTTGAGTTATTTTAATTAATTAATTAGGTGGATTATGTTAGACTTGATCATCAAGTCGAAAATATAGGTCAATAAGATAGTACTAATAATTACTCTTTTATAGATTGGGTCTCCAAAATAACAAAAAGTGATCTCAACACATATGTGTCAGTACAAGAAAAAATTGAACTACTTATCAATAATTTCTAATAATTCATCGCTAAATAGCTTCGAACTAATTAAATTTTTATATAATGTGTACGTTGCTAATTCATAGCTAAATATAATTAGCATGGTTGCATGAGCTATGAAATTTTTGTTATTTAGCTACAAAATTTCGTCCGTCAGATATTTTTTTATTTTTTATCGTAGGGTGTGATAAACCTGTGTTACTAGTTAACACTTCAATAATCATAGTTGAGGTTTTATATATATATATATATATATATTTATGTTTTTATTTATTTCTACCATGTGATGGCTATGTGCATATTTCAAATTACATTAACCTTAATCAGGCCGCCCTGGCAAATTCTAAGAAAGTAATACACAATTAAAACATATGTAATTGTCCAAATTAGTGCTTTACTTTAAAGTTTTTTGTAAGACATAATTTTTGTCCTTATTAGCTATTTTCAACAACATATATTAATTATTATTGGTGGCTGATTAAATCAAAGAACCCCGGCGTATAAACGCGCTGGGAGAATGGGCCAAACCGGAATCACTCAGATTTCATGCAATTTTTTTTATTATTATTTTATTACTAGAAAAGTAAGTTGTACCTTATTTCCCAGAAAATCTCACTATAAATAATTTGAAAAATCTCACCACAAAATTTGTCTTTTTTTTTTTTTTTAAATAATGGTGTCTGAATCATGTTATTGTTATCTTTCACCAGTACAAACACAAAATAATTAAATTTGTTGATCCAAATTTAGATTGATGAAAGAATGACTTAAGAGATCGTTTCATAGACAGTTAGAATTATGCAAGTAATAGTTATTTCATGTGCGAGTACATCAATTTCCTCATAACTTATACATGTATTAGTTATACGGGCAGTGACGAAATTAAAAAAATTGTTAAGGGTATTCAAGATTTAATATATATGTAGGAAAAATAATTTTTGACTTATATACTTCGTATTACTTTCTATATACATAGTATAATTTTTCGATAAAGGATGTCCAATTAGATATCCTGAACTATATATATGGCTACGCCGCTGCATGAGGGTTTCTAAATTGCAAATAAAAAATGATACTAATTTTATATCTGAATAATTTTTTCTAAGGAGCAATCAAATGTTGTACTTCTCCATTCATATTTACTTGTCTGCTTTACTAAAAAATATATTTTCACTTTTACTTGTCACTTTTAGCATGAAGAGATAAATATTTTTTTTTCATGTTTTACCGACAACATTAATTACTCGTTCTCTAAAAAAATCAGGACCTAAGACTATACACAAATTAATAAACTTATTGTGGCAAAATATTCATATTAATCGTTATTTCTTAAGAGGCTTACAAAATCAAAGTAGACAGATAAAAATAAATTTTAGAAAATACCTTAAATAAGTAGATTTCTTATTAGCTACGAAATGAGTCTTTTGAGTGTGTTTTTTTTTTTTTTTTTTTTTTTTGTCTCTATTGGTATTTGAATCCCCATTTTTGAAGATTTATATCCTTCACAATGATTTTTTTAGAAAAATATTTGGTGAATAAATAAAAGAATTAAAAGGAGGTCAAACAAGTCGGAATAAATTCACTTTACAGATGGAAAGTGGAAACAAATGTAGAGGGTCTGGAAACAGATATTTCTTCCAAAGCTTCCTAAAAAATCAAGTAATAATCCAATTTAAACAAAGTCAAACATAAATGGTGGGGGCAGCCAAGTCATTTTCCATTCAACTAAATCTTTTTTATCTCCCTATTTTGCCCTTGTCCACTTCTTCATTAATATTACTCCACACCTTTATTCTTAATATATCATGAGTACTCATAAATCATACTCTCTCCGTTTCATTTTATATGATATATTTATTTTTAGTCCATTCAAAACAATGTTATCTTATTATAATTAGAAATAATTTAATTTTAAAATATTTTTTTTACATTTAATGAAATGATTTTCAATCACATAAATATCTAACAATTATTTTAAATGACAATTTTCAAAAGTCTTTCTTTAATTCTTAAAGTCAAACGATGCGATATAAAATAAGACGGAGGGAGTATAACTTTATCTCCACGTCCTTATACACTTGTAAAGAATAGTAATATCATATATCGATATATTGGACCCGTCAAAAACTTAGAAAACACGTACAACAAATTAAATACTATGGGAACGCAAGAATATATCAACTACAAAATATATACACTTAAATAATCAATTTATTTTTTTTCATAGAAATAGAGAATATTACACAGTGCATGATATCAAAATGACATAAATAAAAAGGTATTCCCAAACTTTTTTCTTTGTGTCTGGTAGCAAAAGCAGTTAGATATTTTGAATATTACAACTTTACTTTCTCCATATAAAGTCCTTAGCCAACCATTGTTCCATTTCCATATCCAAATCCAAAAAAACTTCATCTAGTTTCTCCACAACAACAACATTCCAAACACACAGATATTGATTATCGAATCGAAGTATTTTTATTTAACTTACAACAATAAATGACAGTGATGAAGATTGGATGGGAATCACTTGTTCCTAGCTGTATTAAATCACAGGAAAATTCGAAAAGAAATCCAAAAATAGTAAAGGTGTCGGTTACAAAACAACTATCGTTCCATGGGATTCCTGTATCGGATATTAGTTCATCAACTATATCATCAGATCTTTCGATCTCTCTTGCTGGTTCAAATATTCATGCCTTTACGCAACAAGAACTTAGAGTGATCACACAAAACTTCTCCACGAGTAATTTCATCGGTGAAGGAGGGTTCGGCCCAGTTCACAAAGGATTCATTGATGATAAACTTAGACCTAATGCTATTAAAGCTCAGCCTGTTGCTGTTAAGAACCTCGATTTAGATGGTACACAAGGTCATCGAGAATGGCTGGTACATACCTACATACAAATAATTATCTTTTAACTAACCTGATATATACGATATATTATTATGTTTATTAAATCGTGACGTTTTTTTTTTTAATTTTTGTGAACAGACAGAAGTGATATTTCTTGGACAATTGAGGCATCCACATCTAGTGAAGTTGATAGGATATTGTTGTGAAGAAGATAACAGATTGCTAGTCTATGAATACATGCCTAGAGGAAGCTTGGAGAATCAACTCTTTAGAAGTACGTTTTTTTCTTCATTAATCTAATTTAAAAGTAATTAATGTGTACTTAATTACTTTTTTGTTAAAATGTTTGTTAATTCTTTAATATTGATCAATTTGATGAAGACGGGAAGTAATTAAGGATTTTAATAATATGAAGAAGTCAATTTTTGTGAAAATTGAGGGTGGTTGTTGTACCACACTTTTATTCCGACCCTACGAAAAGGAGTAGGTCAACTAAAGTTTAGTTACAAAGCAACTATCTGTTTTGTACGTAGAAAGTTTTGCTTTATATTGATATATCTATATGTCAGTTGTCATAAAATAAAATAGAAAAATGTTCACGTTGTTGTTTAACGGATGCAAGTTACAATTTAAAAATATATATATAATTTTTTAACTTAAGGATGTTATTACTGACTTTTTTTGAATTATTTGCAGGATATTCAGTATCACTTCCATGGTCAACGAGGATGAAAATAGCTATTGGTGCTGCAAAAGGTCTTGCTTTTCTCCATGAAGCTAAAAAACCTGTCATTTATCGTGATTTCAAGGCATCAAACATTTTGTTAGACTCCGTAAGTAGTTATTTCTATATATTGTGCTATGCTATTTTGAGTAAATTAAAACCCTATAATTAACTAATAGTTGTAATTGATGTTTTGTTCAACAGGATTACACTGCTAAACTCTCAGATTTTGGACTTGCAAAAGATGGTCCAGAAGGAGATGACACACACGTCTCAACTCGAGTCATGGGAACACATGGCTATGCTGCTCCTGAATACATCATGACAGGTAATTATTCAAAATATTATGTGACCACATCTCATCTAAATGTTATTGTATGTATACGTACAGACATGCTAATTTCAATATTTCATATTTGTGTAGGTCATTTGACTGCAGCTAGTGATGTATACAGCTTCGGAGTAGTACTCTTGGAGCTTCTAACTGGTAGAAGATCTGTAGACAAAGGTCGTCCACATAGAGAACAAAACTTGGTAGATTGGGCAAGACCACAACTGAAAGATCCTCGAAAACTACGAAGAATAATTGATCCGAGGCTCGAAGGCATGTACTCAGAAGAAGGAGTTCAAAAAGCAGCATTAGTAGCTTATCAATGCCTAAGCCATAGGCCAAAAGCTAGACCAGATATGAGTAATGTGGTGACAACTTTAGAACCTTTAAAAGACTATGAAGATAACTCAATGGTAACATTTGTGTACACAGCTCCAACAGATGATCAACAGGAAGTGAAGGTCAAAGAAAGTAGTGCTAGTCCACATCATCATCACCAAAAACAACAACACCATCATCATCATAATAGAAGAAGTACTCCTTCATCGCCAACCATTCACTCAGAAACAACTATACACAAGAGATTAACTCCAAATTCACCATTGCAAAATGGTTTCAAGAGATCTTAGATTAAATTAATTAATTATTATCAAATTGTATATCATGATATATACTTTAGATAGAAAATCGTATAATACGTACGTGCACATCCACATTATTTAATTTCATAGTATATAATTCAAATTTGAGCTAAAGCTAAGCTCTTTTTAATTAGATTTCTTATTTTAATTTAGTTCTCTTGAATGAAAGTTGTACTTGTTTAGCTTTTTTCTATGGTGGTGTTTGAACCAGTTAGCATTCTCAACTTTGTATGGTAGAAATGAAAGTTGTGTACTTACTATATTGGTGCATGTGATGATATACATAGATATCATTGATCATATGTCATGCCCCAAAAACGGACGTGATAACACTTGTCTATAATTTCCACCAAGACAAGTAAGTTTCAACCCAACGAAAACGAAAGAAATGCAGAAATATAAATAAAGAACAAGACAAAGGCGGAAAACTTATTCATTTTAAACAATACCCCAAAATCTGGTTGTCACACCTGTACATAGCCACTAAACACAAAAAGTGCAAAACTTAAAAATAAGTACAAATCCCAGTCTTTGTTTCTCAAATAGAACCAAGTATAAAGAAAAGGAAAAAAAGGGTTCGCTGAAGTGACAAGCAGCTACCTCTTAAATTCCTCGACAACCCTCGAAATCAGAAGAAGGAGAAAGAGATTATGCGGGTCTGGGCTCGGAATCTACACAACTGTAGAAGCAAGGGGGTGAGTACCAACAACACGGTACCCAGCAAGCAACCTAGAAAACAAGGCATCTAGCTAGAAAACGAATACCCCTTACACTCCAACCGAACCTCCTCAAACTACAACCTGCATAGAAATTAACCCAACCTAGAAATTCTACAATAGACGGCTCACAAGGCCATATATCCACAGTACAATAGTCGTAATAAAAATATACGAATCAAGTAAGTCATTCTCAAAGTCAAGTAGCTCAGTCACATGCAACAAGTACATAAATAACAATTAGCAATCAAGTCACGCATAAACATCAAATGCATCAAGTCACAATAATCAATCTGTTATTGGAATCATTTCTCATCAGCACATTAATATCACTAGCCAAAATTGTAGACACATAATTTTTTACAGAACTTAAGTTTTACAGTATTTTTAGAGCTTAAATATTTTTATATAAATCTAAATTAAATATTTTGACTTTTATCTTATTTTTATTAAGTTTATTTTAAAGATTTGAAAACTACAAAAAAAAAATAGAGTCACATTTTAAGGTATGTTTTATTTTCAACTGTTTAAAAAGAAATGAAAAGGTACAAAAAATATATGTTTTCTTTTAAATTAGATTTAACAATAAGCTATTTGTAATGACCTAATTCCGTCGTTAGGAAAATCCAATGGAGGAAGAATTGGGGTCAGAAAACTTTTGGTAGTAACTTGGAATTTCCTAACCTAGTCCAGATTTGGACGAAATTGGAGTCAGTAAAGTCTAGGGAAATCTGGTGACAACTAGGTGATGTAATTATGATTTTGATTACATGAATAGATAGCTAAGACATGAAGGAACCCGTACGACTTTACGAAATTAAATTCGGGCGAGTAGAACTCCCAAAAATGATTTTAGCGTGAACGGGTGGTTTTTAAATGTCAAGGGTTGAAGGTGTGTTGTGAAATGGGGGCTTGGAATTCAAATTCCAGCATTCTGTCTCTGTGCATGCCATCGTAGCAGGATGGTTACCGTTATAGCGGTCCCGCTGTATCAGGACAGACGCGACTTAAGTCGAAAATAAAACCCCAAAAATGTTTTATTCTGCACTTTTCGACTTTGAGAGCTAAAGAACAACCCCATGGTTTTCTTGACAGTTTTCCACCATTCTTGAGGCTAAACGTAAGGTTTTCACTCCCCGAATCCGTTTTTCGATCCGTAGAATGTAAATTCGTAGGTAATTATTGTGGGGGAAGGGTTTTGATCTAAAATTAATGGTGGAAATGCCCTAAATTGGGTATTAGGATCTTGGGTTTGGTCTAGGGTTATTGGGTTTGTTATAATCCGTATAATTAGACCTTTGATTGTTGATCGTTGTGTTAATTGTATATTTTTAGACCTCGAACAAGCAAGAAGAATCCGAAAAGGAAGATTCAAGGGCCTTAGGGGATTCAAGCTTGGATTTGAGGTAGGTGATAGTTGTGATTTCATGATTGTGTGATATATGTTTGTTCTTGCTTCATTATAATACATGTATGTATGTGAATGTTGCACTATTTATCACACTACTTGTGGATGAGGATAGATGAATTATGAATGCCATAAATCGTGACTTGATTGTATGATTTTGAGAATATCCTTATGATTGTGATTGTGGCTTGTTGAATGGATCGGGTGTTGCGTTTCAACACACTAACTTGGATCGGTTGCCACGTTCCGACATAAACATTAGATTGGTTGCCACGTTTCGACATAAACATGGGATCGGTTGCCACGTTCCGACATAAACATTGGATCGGGTACCACGTTCCGATATGCTAACAGTTTGGGGTGTGGGTTCTATGAGAGGACTATTGATTTGACATAACTGTATATCTTGATAAATGTGAAATTGTTCGTTGTTCGTAAATGATATTGATATTGTGTATATTTGGTGTATGCATGTTATTATATTATTGTAATGACTTATGTATGTTTCACTTAGTGGGATAGTCGCATGATCCTACCAGTACACTGTGGTTGTGTACTGATGCTGCACTTACTCTTTCTTTGTTGAGTATAGGGCATCTTCTGGTGGCTATTGATAGACCTCAGCTAGGTGACTATTGAGCGTGACCGGATTCAAGGGTGAGCCAGTTCTTTTAGGCTACCATGGATCTTTCTTGTTTAAGTCCACTCTTTTCGGACTTTGACCTTTGTTTAAGGTGTTGTTTAGTTTCGGGGTTGTACCCCTTGTTCTTAGACTTGTCGGTAGTAGAGTTTTGGTACAATGACTTTCAGGTTCTAGGGGTTGTTCTTCCGCATTAGTTTGGTTAGTTGTTTGTTAAAACCTTGGAGTTTATGGGTACTGCATTTTTATAGTCATTTAAACCTACTTTCGTATCTTTAAATGTCTTAGTTTTCATAAAATTTATTTGTTTGTGTTGTAATAATGGTTCTCCCACCAGAGGATTTGTGTGAGTGTCAATCACAACGGTCTGGGTCGTGACACTGATATTTCTTAAGTAGCTATTCATTTATTCTTGTAATTTTATTAGCTTATATTTTTTATTATAATTGTTATATATATATTTACTTTTAAAAAAAAACTAAACTAACTTAAACTACCCATTTTCCTCCTACTTTCGCCCCTCACCTCACAACTCCCTCACCACTACTACTACTACACACACGACACACACACCCTACACAGATACATACTACATATACTATAACCTATCTGCAAAAAAAAGAAGAGGAAGGATATACACTAAAAGAAAAACACACACACACAGGAAACAAAGAAAAAACATTTTGTCATTCGTTTCAAACAACAACACAAAACAACCAACACGTACAACTGAAAAAAGAAATATAAAAGTTGAGTTCAAGGTTTGCTTTCGTGGTTTCAAGTCCGTAGTTTTTTTTTGTGATTTTATTTCTTCTCGTGAATTAATTTTCACAAAAGGTAACATTTTATTTTTATTGTATGATTTGATTTCATAATTATATAAGATGTGATTCCAATATTACGGAGTTGCTCAAATTTATGTGTGTCTAATTTTTGGGTCTGCCAAAGTAAACAAGTAACTACCTTTAATTTGGTTTTTAGCAGCTACAAATAAGCCAGGGAATGAGTACCAACAACACGATACCCAACAAGCAACCTAGAAAATAAGACATCTAGCTAGAAAACAAATACCCCTTACACTCCAATCGAACCGCCTCAAACTACAACGGAACAAAGTTCGAGTCTGGTTAAGTTTATGTAAGAATAGGTTGACAAACATTTTTTTAACATTTAACTTGTATAACATCTCAAAAGGGACATAAGTTCAAAATAAATTCAATATATTTTTGGAACTTCTTTTAAATATTAAGCAGTTTTTAGGGAAAAAAAATTAGTTGGTTGGTGTTAATGTAATGGTCTTTAATTTGATGGTCAATTAAGTTTTGGACTTCTTGCATTGTACGGGTGACAAAAACAGTTTCAACAAAAACGGTGCCATGTATATATATAATGCAATGTATATATCGATATTATATAAATAGTGTATAATATGTATAAATAATGTATAATTATGTCATTAGACACGTGTATATATTTATATACATTATTTATACATTGCAAGATTATTTTTCTTAACAATCTTTTTTTTCGACCAACTCTAATTTTCTCTAAATAGTTCCAAAATATAGATATGATCTCTCTCAACGTTTCAAATCTTTTAATATAAGGAAAAAGCTCAAAATACTCTTCAACTTTCATTTATTAGTTAACTTTATCCTTATCGTTAAAATAAAGTTATTCATGCACTTGTCGTCTACAAAGTTAACACATATACCCCTTATTTGGACGGAATCTCCCAAATTGATTTCAATTGCCCAATTTCAATCAAAATTATCCGTTTAAAATGAATTTTCAACTAACCCGACCCCCAACTCATTAAATTAAAATTCAAATCAAATTAGATCCAAAAGTCTACCACCGTTATAAGAACCCAAATATAATTTTCAAGTTTATCTAAACGAAGAACTATCTTTCATTAATTTTTATCGATTGTGCTACCATGCATAGAATATCCAAAGTCCACTTCTGTTCTTGTATGACAATTAAGTCATTCAAGATTATCATCTCCAAGGATTCGAACAACAAAGAAGAAAATTCAAGTTTTTTTTATCAAGAATGGGATATCAGAAAATCTCATAAACGGCAGTGCTGATTTATTTTCTTCACGCATCCTGTAACATTGGACAACATAGTCATGGACCAGATCTAAATAACTCTCTCAAAGAAATTCATCCCCAAAATATGGAATCCTTCACCAAATTATTCAAATTTCATACATAAACTCTCCAAGAAGTTTCCAATCTTTTGTAATAATATTCACCCAAAATGGAGCTCATTTGCGGCAATTCAATTTTTCAAATTTGACCTTATATTGAACTCCAATGGAAGATTGTCTTTTTTAAATTGATCATCTCCAAATCAACGGATAACCATGAAATGATATCAACAACTAAAGTAAATCAAAAGAGAATCCATTCACAACAAATTTATAACTCGCGACTTCCAATTTTTCAAATCAAATTCGAAAAGGGTTATATATACACGATATACAACACT